TTGACAGTGAGGTTGACTTTGATTTTGCCTGCTGCAGAGGAAAGCCCTGCACTCTGGGAGAGGCAATGCCATGAGGACTTTGTCATGTGATGCCCCACAGGATTTTCAGAGTAACTGGCCCTGTTAAGGTAAAACTGTGCCAAAATATGGCAGTAAGAACACTTGGGTTCTACTGCTGTGATTATAGAAAGTTGGTGTGATTTTATCTGCTTGTCTGAGAGCAGCTCTAGGGATGGTGTTGGGGACATAACAGAAAGAAAAGCTCCAGGAGACAAGTTCGTGGAGAAGATCTTTCTGATCATTTGTTGGTTGACTTGAGCACAACTGTGATTTTAATTTCTCTTTTAATTTTATAAAAGCACTTGCTAAGTCAAATAATTTAACTGCTGCTGCTAAAGGGGGAGCTTTTTTTTCCCATCCCTTGCCTGAAATTTAGTGAGTTTTCCCCTCTGGGGAGTTATTCAAGTTCATGAATTATTCTAAAACTGTACTTTCATTTCTTGGCCATTTAACAATCTGAATCAGCTTGTCAGAGGATCATATGCATACAGAATTAGGAGGAGGAGGTGAGACAGTAAGCAAGGACAGCAAGTAAGGGTTGTCCTCTCCTATTCCATAGAAGAGTTGTGTGGTTTTGTGAATGGAGTAGCAATAAACCTTGAAATATGTTAGATGGTCATTTGCACTATGTATAGTCAACATTTTATGTTTTATCATCGAATTTGCTCATAAGGTAATTAGAAAATCAAACTATATCGACACAAAACAATTGATATATGCATAAGATGCATTAGGTAATGTTGAAATAGTAGAAACTAATAGAACAAGGTCTTTCAAGTCTATTATGGTATACAGTACTAGATCTACACAATGAGTATGTAAACATTGCTAAAAGGATGTTTCAGCTTTTGCTTTTAAGAGTTCTTTTCTTAAATGGTTATTTGGAGTTAAAAGATCAGCCAAGGAGTGGTCATTTTTGCAGGTGTTTTGTTTGTCAACTGTTGTGATTTAATACTGAGTACTGATGTCAGAAGATCATTAGTCTCTGATGTGATCTCTAAATATTCCGGCTGCAGTTTCACTAACAGGAACTTTTCTAATGTTATTCCACTGAATTCAAGTAGCCAAAGTTATTCATGTCACAGAACATTTTTATAGATTCAGGTAAATAATCATTTCGCATTTCACAAAGACACACATCTCCACAAAGGAATGAAGAAAGCAGGGAGAGAAAGTAGGTCCTGGTTCTCTTTTGAAAAGCTCTTGGTGCTTTGGATCTCTGTCTGTAGTTCCACAGCTTCCGTGAAGGAGAGCAGAAAGTTTAATGAGGCTGAGAATCAGCTGAGATGGAGCATAAATCTGGAGGGGGTGGACAGTGGCTTGGTAGTTGTTTTCCATGTTTGGTGGGGTTGGGGGCGGGGGAGGTTGTGTTGGTTTTGTAGTTTTGAGGGGTTGGGGGAGGTGTTGCTGGCTGAGGTGTTGGGGGTTTTGCTTCTCCTGTAGCAACTGCTCTGTGAACAGGATTCTGTCTTCCTAATAATCGTTGGAACTTCTTATGGGTTGTCAGAGCATGTTTCTCATCCCAGTTTTGATAGCAGCATTCTTCAGCATACCCAGAAACTGATGAGTAACCGTGACAAAATAACAATGTAACTAATTACGCCTAGTTTTCAATGGATTTGTGTCCTTTGACCTACTCGTATTTTTCACTGCAGTATCCTTGTCCCTCGCAACCACCAATTTTCACAAAATCTGTAGGAATGTAATTATCTGGGACATTTTCAGATCTGTCAATTATGAGTTAGTTCAGTTAGGGAGAGAACAGCACTATTTCCCTAGGAAAACAAGTTAAAATACTAGCTAAAAAAAGGGAGATTTTCCAGGCTTATTTATATTTTACATCATTTCTTAAAAGGAATTCCTGTTCTTTATTAGAGAATTCTAGAACAAAAATATATCAATTCAGCACTTGTAGAAAGAGCAAGTGGAGGGAATGCTTGCTAGTCCTATTAGTTTGAAATGAGAGATTGGATTTTAAATATACTTTTACAGTGTGAACTACCTCTGTGAGCAAAGGTTAATCCCAAACATGTAAGAATTAATGTATTCAAATAATGTTAAGTTTGGATTTCTAATGCTAAAAAAAAAGATAGAAATTTCAGTCGCTCCACCTTCTTTTGTCATCCTTGTGCATCTGTAAATTGTAACATATTTAAGCACATGAGTAAACACAAGAACACTATCATCTGAAGTCTAGAAGCTGTTACATTAGCATAATTAACTTATCAACCTGTTGTTCGTGATAAGTTGGCTTGCAAAGTGGTAATATTGAATAATTGTTAAGCTTTCTTTTTAATTACTGTTTAGTGCACCAGGACTGTTGTAGTTCATTTTTAGGCATAGAAATTGAGATAATTCCCTCCAGCCTGATCTTGCTGTCTGTATTTCCTGTGTGACAAGTGTGCATGCCATCACTGAACGGGGAACAATAACAAAATTATTCTGGATTTTCCTTCTTTCCCACTCTCTTCCTTTAACTTAAAGGGTTAAATTTAAAAAAACCAAGTTGTTTGTCCTAAATGTTCTTGCTGCAATCCATTATGCATGAAAAGAGTCTGAGTCCATTTGCAAGACCTCTAAATGAACTCCATTCATTCCGTGCTTAGAAATGTCCATTCAGCCAGAAACAGACACAATAGTTACAACCTCATTTATTTGGCACCAATACCAGCTTATTAGAAGTGAAGGGCTTGTTATGAAAAAGTATAGTAATTTTTCTATGCTAGTTATATAATTATTTAATAAAATTCCTTTAGGGTTTGGATAATGTAAAATTGCATATATTCCTTGCCCATCATTGCAGTGTAGTAGCCTTGCATTCATCTAAAATTCTCAAACATTCATGAAGATCTTGAAATAGCCATTTCAAAAATGTAAGTTGACTTAGTTTGACTTATTTTCATGTAAAAGAAGTTATAGAGGCATCTATTTCTAGTTGACTCAGAAATTAAGCCAATTAGTAATTATAATTAGCAGCTATGGGAAAAAATAAATTTAAAACTTTATCTTTTAAAACATTAAAACTTTGTTTACGTTTGGAAGTTAAATTACTGATGAGAGGCATGTAGAAATTGTAGGAATTTGGTACTATAATTTCATCAGGTTAAAATCCATGAAGATAAGTCAAGAATTCACTACTCCACGTTTTGTTGGTCTTAAACATAGAGTGGAAATTGTGATCAGCAGAATGTTGTGAGCCTCAGGTGTACAGGTACCGTATCAGACCGTATTATATCGGAGTTTAAATGACTTGGAGTGTTGAGCAAGGCTCATTGGCTTCCCTTCTAAGATTAGGAATGAACAAAAATGATAAGCATTTAAGAGAACAAGGCTTGCCTTACATGCAAGTAGGATTTTTTAAGTTCTCCTCATTCTTGGGGCCTACACAGGAGCCAGAGAGAGACTCTTTGTTAGGAACTGCAATGATAGGACAAGGGGTAATGGATTCAGAATAAAGAAGGGGAAGTTTAGGTTAGATATTAGGAAAATGTTTTTTACTATAAGGGTGGGGAGACATTGGAACAGGTTGCCTGGGCATGTGGTGGCTGCCCTGACCCTGGCAGTATTCAAGGCCAGGCTGGATGAGGCTTTGAGCAACCTGCTCTAGTGGGGAGGTGTCCCTGCCCATGGCAGGGGGTTGGGACTACATGGTCTGTAAGGTCTGTTCCAACCCTTAAATTCTATGATCCTGTGTGTGCAAAAGTCATGCAGCCTCCCATGGACATTCTTGCTCCAGTTCAGGTGTGAGAGGCTCAAAGGAGGATTTGTGTCCCTCTCCTGGGAGGTTGGGTGGCCATATGCATGTGTTAATGTCGTAACGTGCAGGTTGTGTTTGATGTAGAAATAAATATTGTGTTCAGAGGGAAA